GCAGTCCCTCCTATCATAGGCCTGGAGGCCCAGGAGGAGAAACTGGTTTTGTGGGCTGGCTCCAGGGCTCCCCTGGTTTGTGCAGCCTTGGGACTTGGTGTCCCATATCTCAGCTGTGGCTAAAAGGGGCCAATGTACAGCTAAGACCATTGTTTCAGAGGGTGTAAGCCCTAAACCTTGGTGGATTCCATGTGGTATTGGGCCTGCAGGTGCACAGAATTCAAGAATCGAGGTTTGGGAACCTCTGCCTAGATTTCAGTGGAAGCATAGAAACACCTGGATGTCCAGGCAGAGGTATGCTGCAGGAGCGGGTCCCTCATGAAGAACCTCTAATAGGGCAGTGGAGAAGGAAAATGTATGGTGGAAGCCCTGACACAGAGTCCCCAGTGGGTCACTGTCTAGTGGAGCTGTGAAAAGAGGACCACCATCCTCCAGATCCCAGAAGGATAGATCCACCAACAGCTAGCACTGTGTGCCTGGAAAAGCCACAGACACTTAGCACTGGCTCATGAAAGCAGCCAGGCAGGGGACTGTACCCTGAAAAGCCATAGGAGCAGAGCTGCCCAATATCATGGGAACCTGCCTCTTGCATCCTTGTGACCTAGATGTGAGACATGGAGTCAAAGGAGATCATTTTGGAGCTTTAAGATTTGACTGCTCTGCTGGATTTCAGACTTTCCTGGGGCCTGTTGCCCCTTTTTCTTGGACAACTTCTCTCATTTGGAATGAGTGTATTTACCCAATGCCTGTAACCCCCATTGTATCCAGGAAGTAACTGACTTGTTTTTCATCTTAGAGGTTTATAGGTGGAGGGGACTTGCCTTGTCTTAGATTAGACTTTGGACCGTTGACTTTTGAGTTAATGCTGAAATGGGTTAAGACTTTGGGGAACTATTGAGAAGGCATGATTTGTTTTGAAATGTGAGGACATGAGGTTTGGGAAGGGCTGGGGGTAGAATGATATGGTTTGGCTGTGTCCCCACCCAAATCTCAACTTGAATTGTAGCTACTATAATCCCCATATGTCATGGGAGGGACCTGGTAAGAGGTAATGGAATCATGGGAGTGGGTTTTTCTCATGCTGTTATCTTGAGAGTGAATAAGTCTCATGAGACCTGATAGTTTTATAAAGGGCAGCTCCCTTGCACACACTCTCCTGCCTGCCATTCTGTGAGACATGCCTTTGCTCCTCTTTGCCTTCTACCATTATTGTAAGGTCTCCCCAGCCATGTAGAAATGTGAGTCAATTAAGACTCTTTCCTTTATAAATTACCCAGTCTCAGGTATGTTCTTATAACAGCATGAGAATGGACTAGTACAGCCATCAAAGCTGCTTATGGTATACCTGGTCCAGCTGCAGCCTTGCAGAGAGCAGGTGCCCTTGCCAGTGCCTAGAGCTGCCCTTTCTTCTGCAGCTGGTGTGCCTTGCTGTACATTGTCTGGACCCCACGCTTACTCACACACCCCTCATTGCTCCGCACCTGGCTTGCCCTTGGCAGGCCTGGGATCCAGGCCAGTAGCAGAAGCTGAGGACAGCCTTCCAGACCGAGTGGGCATAATGTGACTAGCAGGTCAGAGCAAAACTCAGAGACAGGTGCCACTGGCCATAGAGGTTTCTGGGTGGCAAAACAATGCCCCAAGTCTCCCATAACAATAACTCTTAATTTTTATATTTTTATCAATTTTTATCAAAGGCTACTCATGGAATAGCTACCCTCATGGAGGAGAAAGAAGTGCGGCTTAAAAAAGCAGCCCCTCAGTCCAAATGGGGTAAACATCAATTGAGTGTCACTCTTTTTATAGGGTGTTTTTGTTTTAAAACTAGGTTAAAGTAAACCAATTTCCTAATCTTAAAAATGCATAATTTTGTTTTGGAGGTAACAGGGATGAAGTAGCAAGGGAATCGTGGTGGGTAGAGCAAGAAAATATGCTTTGCGAGTTTTTTGAAAACTTACAATCCTTCATTAAAAAAATAAGCTAAGGACACTTTTATACTTCAAGGCAAAAGTATGAAAGCAGTAGCACATTTGGTTCCGTGCAGGCCCTGCTGTCTTGGAGGTGGAGTAAGTACAGCACAAATGATATGCTTTTATTGATTATAATTGACAGTTTTATTTCCTTTGAGATCGTAACATTATTTATTAATAGAACAACAAGTTTGAGGTAACTAATAATTCATGTTTCTGTGTTTTATGTAATAAAATTAGGCTTTTTTTTTCAAGTTCAAGGAATATTTATTTGGCAATATGCACCAAATCTAATCAATTCAGTTTTTTAATCATTCATTTTATTCTGTTGGCTGTAGAGTTACTTGATCGCAAAGAGATGCTTTTATTCCAATAAACTTTCAGATCTTCCCTAAGAATTTGAAATTCTCAACTGAGTCTTGCAGTGCTGAGTCATACTGTCATGAAATCAGTGATGCTCTATGTTCTAATGAATAGCATTAACCTCTGAATTTCAGCAAGGTAAAATATTTCAACAATTCTAATGTAGTCTTAGTATCTAAGACTTACTTTACCTGATTTACCTTAGTTTACTTTACAAATCATTGCTGGGTGAATATTTAATAAATGTAACTTACAACAAACTTTACATGCTATATTTATAGTATTGCAGTGTCATAAAGAAAGTAATGACACTCCACTGAATTGCTCTTCATAGGACCCTTTGATCCTTTCTTTCTGCCTTTTACTTCTGAAGTCTTACCACTTGGACCTATATCCTTGACAGCATATTTAGAGGTTCTAGCAGGGGAACACAGCAGCTTGTGTACCCTTCAGTGAAGAATGATTCTCTATTTGGGAAGGTCATCTTCTTCAACCTAGCAAGTAGCTTCAGAAAGGACACACATGGAGTAGTGAGGCAGGAAAAAGACACTTGCCAAGTCATCCAGATTAGCTGAATCAATCCTGGCCATCAATGAGGTGACAGATGTTGCAGCCAGATTACTCTCATATTTTTGGATCTATTTTCCTCACTGCCTGCAGGCACTGCTTAGTGATTTAGTCTTATCTCACGGATTTATCTACGATCTTCATGCAAATGATTCACAAATTATACAGCCAAGACATCTCTTCTAAACTCCATACAAGTTTATCAAACTGCCTATTTGAGATCTAGATCTAAATTTTGAATAATCACTTCACATCGAACCTTTCCAAAACCAAACTACTGATCTTTTCCCTAAATCTACAGCCTTTCTCGATCAGTTGAATGTCAGCTCCATACTTAAGTTTGCTCAGGCCGAAAACCCTGGAGTCATCCTTGATTTTTCTCTTCCTCTTAAACCCTGTATTTAACCCATTAGGCCATCACGGTTACTCTGCCTTTTTCAGGCTATATCTGCATCTGGTGGAATCGTTATTCTTATTAATTAAAGATAATAGCCTCAGAGAGGTTAAGAGAACAGCCCAAATCCCCATGGTTGGGAAGTAATAAAGTCAGATTTCAAATGTACCTTTTCTGATTGATCACAACTAATATGCTCATTCCATAATACTAGTGCTTCTGCTAAATAAATGTTATAATTACTTTTTTAAACATAGTTTAGAAATATGATTTGACCTATTCTATAATTGGAGCTTTATGAACAGTACATGTTATCTTGATTAGGTTCTGTAGAATTCTCTAGGTATTCTGTGGTTATTTCATAAATACTTGCGAACTCAGTTGAATTGACTGGTATTCTTTTGCTGTTTTATTTTGCTCTGGGTTAGGAAATGTGTTTTCAGTTGCAACATATAATTGGATATGTGTGTGTTGGATGGGAAAGAAGGGGGTTTTAATGAAATAAAAATATTCAAGAAGGTCCTTTAGAAAGCTCTTTTTCAGAGATTTCTTGCCACATCTCTGACTTTAGAACCTGTAGCTTTTTTTTTTTTTAATCTTACATACTTCTCTAATTGCTGGAGTTTTTGTGATATGTAATATTGATCCTAATGCTAGTCATTTAAGCTTAGATTATGGAATTATTTAAATTATTTAAAATTTTATCTCAGGGGCCTCTGAAAAGAGGGACATCTTATAATTTTTTAATTCACTAGATTCTAAATTCCTCTAATAGATTATCGTGATAGTGGGTTGGAATCATGGTAGAGCAATATCGTAAAATAAATTTCAGTGTTGGTTAGATTATTGAAATACTCCAGTTTTACTGATGTAGTTTTTGTAGTTTAGAAAAAGTTATTCCTTACTATGTAATTAAATGTAACAAAAATGAAGTATGTTAAGCTGGTTTCCTTGATTAAAGTTCTATCTTTTTCTTGCTAGGTTATATCCTTGAAAGTCAAAATTAAATTTTTGGGACATGCCTATTGTTAATAATTGTGACATATTTTGAAAGCTGTTTTTCTTCTTCATATGTATATGTTAAACACTTATCTATTAAACAGATTTTTAGGTAAACAGCCCTGGGATGATTAATTCATCTTTATTTTTGTCTTCTAAATTTGCATTTTTAAATTTACTTGTTTTATGATTTTATCAATTTGTGTTATTTTGATTGATTCCAGGACAAAATTTGATGAGTATTCAATTCATAAAAGCAATTTTCACATCTTAAATTTTATATATCTGTTTACCTACCTGTCTGCCTACCTACCAACCTACCTATCTCTGCTGTGATAGAAGCATTTAGTGTGGAATCACTTTCGAAATATTCTTATAGGCTTTGGAACTATTTCTTAAAGCAGTAAGATGGTATGTGTGGCATTAAAAGGAAAAACTATGTCTAGTAATTACTTCCTGTGTCAACAGATTGAGTTAAAGATGTGTGGCAATTGCAGTTGTAATGGCATGTATTTAGAAAGGAAACTTAATTTACTACTTCTAAAAAAAATTTGTTGGCAAAACAAAACTAAAAAGTTCAAAAAAGAAATATTTGATTTATGGAAAATGTGTTAGTTTTCTGTTACCATTTGCAATGATGGATATCTGCGAGCCTTTGTATCATGAGATAAGCCATGATCAACTATGTTGCTGTCTTTTCTTCTTCATAGTGTATGCCAATTAAAGGCCTAGGATTCGTTCTTGGAGCCTATGAGTGCATTTGCAAAGCAGGATTCTATCATCCTGGAGTCTTACCAGTGAACAACTTTCAGAGTAAGTGTCCTTTGTTTCTATGCATATATATGTATATACATTATATATACCATTATTCATTATGAAGATTTTTTTTTATTCTTGTTAGGGTTATATGGTTGAATAACCATTGGCTTGGCATTCTTTCATCCTTTCAGGAGTTTTAGTTTTAGTTTGTCATCTACAATGCTCTGGAACCCCACTAAAATATACCTAAAATATTCTTAGCTCTGTATTAGTTTTCAATACATTGTAAAAGCCTGAAAATATTGTAGCTATGTGGTGAGACCAGTGGGGATTTAGTTATTGAAAGATGCTGCTACAGAAAGTTTCTAAAACTAATTTTGTCAGTTTATTTTATTTATCAGTTTGTTTATATGTTTTAAATGCTGCATAAAAAGTTGCCATACAGTGAGCAGCTTAAAGCAGCACAGATTCATTATCACATAGTTTCCATTGGTTAGGTTTGTAGTCCTAGATTATCTGCATCCTATGCTCAGGGTCTCACCACTCTAAAAGCAAGATGTTGGCTTGTTATGGTGGCTCATGCTTGTAATCTCAGTAATTTGTGAGGCTGAGGTAGGAATATCACTTGAGCTCAGGAGTTCAAAACCAACCTGGACAACATAGTGAGACCTTGTCTCTATAATAATAGTGTAAGATGCAGAGATCATCTTCAAAAAACACAAGTCCACTTGTTGTTATTTGCATTATCTACCTCTATAAACAATCATGACCAAATCCATGTCGTTATAAATTTAATAATAAAATATTAGATGTGAAAATTTATAGTTTCAAAAAATAAAGGTGTCACTTGGATGTGATCTTCTCAGAGGCTCAGGGTCCTTTTCAAAGCTCTTTAGGATTGTTGGAAGAATTCAGTTCCTTGCAGTTGTAGGCCTGAGGCCCTTATTTTCTGGCTGTATGTCAGCCTAGGATCACTCTTAGCTCCTAAACATTGCCTCAAGGCCTGTCTATGTCACCCTCTCACAACATGGCTGATTCCTTTTTTAATGGCTACCAGGAGAATCTCCCTAGCCTGCTAAGACAGAGTCTTGAATGACAGAGTGTAATCATGGGAGTGACTCTCCCATCACTTCAACGTATAATGTACCCCAACCAAAAGAGAGAATGTCCCGTGATATTTACAGATCCATACACATTCAAACGGAAGTGAATACACAAGGCTTCTATTCCAGAATGGAAATTTGGGGTCATCTGGTTATTTTATTCCTACTCCAGAAAATGTCAGTGTTACAATTCGAGTATGGAGTATAATTCTATCTCTGGAGAATGAACTGCTGCCACATCACCTTATAGCTACTGGATATAATATGTAAGAAGAAAGACTGTGTTCTTCACATGTACCCCCAAACCTAAAACACAATAAAAATATATATATTTTTAAAAAAACGACTGTAGTGGTAACAGGGGTGGTTTCATGGAAAGTTAGGGCTTGGGGGTTGCTAAAACTAGAGTAGAAGTCTCTTTTAAATAGTTACCCATAAATCTTTGTCAGGCCTTTAATTTATCTGCATAGGAATTTGGATTTCTCTGATGGATAGTTCAAAGGGTTCATTGAGATTGAGACCTGACTCTCCTGCTGGGAATTTTGGTACACATTTATAGATGTATATATAGTTCTTTTTCTCTCTCTTAGAAGGCACTATTCTTGGTCTTGAGACTCTTTACATTTAACTTGTAGGTTCTGGAGGTGAGTAACATTTTGCTGTCTCCTCCGTCACATATTTCAGAGTTTGGTCCTTGTTCTGAGTGAGTTATAGGCAGAATTCTAAAGTGGCCTCCCAGGTTTTGCTTCCACATCCTCTTAAGTGTGGGTGTGATCTATGAATCTGGTGGGATAGTCACTCCCTTACTTACATTCTGTTATATATCACCATATGAGAGTGAGAATGTAGTTACTTTTGTGATTACATTGTTTTATCTAAGACTCCATCATAGCAGACTGGAAGAAGAAAGAGAATCTTTACTGGCTTTGGAGATGTGAGCTACCTTGTTTGGAGAAAGCCATGTGGTTGGGGCTTGAGAGTAACCTGTAAGAACTGAGAGCAAACCCAACTAATAGCTCACGAGAAAATAAGGACTTCCAGTACTACAATTGCAGGGAAGTAAATTCTTCCAACAATCTGAATACTCTCAGAAGAGGACCGTGAGCTCCATATGAGAATGCAGCCTAGTCAAAACCTTGATTTCAGCCTGGTGAGGCCCTAAGCAGAGAACTCAGTTACACTGTGCCAAGACTTCTATTCATTAAAAACAGGGAAATAATAAACAGATATCATAAGCCCCTAAAATTTGATCATTTATAATTCAGCAATCACAAATATGCAATAGCAATCCTGGTAATATATTTTAAGGATGATTATGCTTTTTGGTGTGTGTGTGTGTACTGAACCACGGCGACACTGGAGCTGCTTTGGCATTTTTCACGTTTATGGTCCAGACATAACATATGATTCAACACTGAAGGATTAAGGGAAAAGGTTTTAGCTTATGTTCTGTGAAGGTATTTTGTATCTGGTTTACCCACATTTGTTCTCAGCTCCCACTGTGTGACTGAAATAAAACATCTAAATATTGTAGAATCAGAGAATGACTATGCCATTTGCTTATAACACCACCAGGAGAAACTGGTTAACCTTTAACAACTTATCTTTATTTAATTTGCACACTCCTACTTTCTTCCTTATTTTAAAAGCCAGTGTTTTTTTTTTTTTTTTTTTTTTTTTTTTACTGGACCTACAAGCTAAGAAAAGCCTAGTTCTCTGTGTAAGTCTAACTCCCATGTTTATTTTGGTTTTTTTTGTTTTGTTTTGTTTTGTTTTGTTTTGGATCCTCACTATTGTTTTCTTTTTTAGGTTCTGGGGTACATGTGCGGGTCATACAGGGTTGTTGCATAGGTGCATACGTAAACAGGCGGTTTGCTGCCTCTATTCCCCCTTTGACTATATCTGGCATTTCTCCCCATTTTATCACTCCCTACCCTCCCCATCCCCTGCTGTCCCTGTGCTAACCTCCCCCAAAATGCCCCCAGTGTATGATGTTCCTCGCCCTGGGTCCACATGTTCTCATTGTTCAACACCCGCATATGAGTGAGAACATGCATTGTTTGGTTTTCTGTTCTTGTGTCAGTTTGCTGAGAATGATGTTTTCCAGATTCATCCAAGTCCCACATGTTATACACATTGCAGCCATGGAAGAGAAGGCACTCTTTTCAGGAAGATGATCTATAATTGAATTTAGCTTTGATTCAGCTTTGACCTCAGCACATACTTAGCCAGGACTAGCCTTCCTCAGTGACAGAGCAGAACAGTAGCTGCATGTTATAATTTGAAGCTGGTAAAGCAGAAGTCCCAATTCCTGAGCTGTGGACTGGTAGCAGTTCACGGACTGTTAGGAACCAGGCTGCACAGCAGAAGATGAGCAATAGATGAGAGTGTTAGTCCATTCTCATGCTGCTATGAAGAAATATTCAAAACTGAGTAATTTATGAAGAAAAGAGTTTTAATTGGCTCAGAGTTTCACATGGCTAGAGAGGCCTCAGGAGACTTACAGTTGTGGTGGAAGGCACCTCTTCACAGGGTGGCAGGAAAGAGAATGAGTGTCAAGCGAAGGGGGAAGGCCCTTATAAAACCATCAGATCTTGTGAGAACTCACCATCATGAGAACAGCATGGGGGAAACTACCCCCATGATTTAATTGTCTCCACTTGGTCCTGCCCTTGACACGTCAGGATTGTTACAATTCAAGATGAGATTTGGGTGGGGACGTGGAGCCACACCATATCAGTGAGACAACATTAACTCCCAAATTTTGCCTCCTATCAGATTAGTGGTGGTATTAGAGTTTCATAGGAGTGCACATCCTAATGTGAACTGCACATGTGAGGGATCTAGGTGGCACGCTCCTTATGAGACTCTAATGCCTGATGATGTGTGGTGGAGCAGTTTCATCCCAAAACTGTCATCCCCATTCCCCTTACCTCAGTCTATGAAAAAAAAATGTCTTCTATGAAACCAGTCTCAGTGCCAAAAAGGTTGGGGACCACTGCAGTCCTTTTATCCTTTGTATGGATACAGTATCAGTCTTTCAGTCTTATGTCTTTGGCCTTTTGGATTGACTTCAGCCTGTGTACATTTCCAAATCCCAGTTTACAAATGACTGAAAATACCTTTCCTGATGGCCTAGTCAAGTTGCATGAAAATCCAGCATTAATCATTTCTTGTCCTAAATAAAGAGCACAACAACCTGACTAGGAAAATGAGCCGTGTAACTCACATGTGTCATCGCCTAAGAATTACCCAACATTTTTTGTGTTTTGGGCTTATATGAGAATATATTACATGTCTCTGTGTTTTAATTTATTAGGTCTCTTCATCATAGTATGAAGGCAAGTTATAGGGAACATTATTTTCATATTTTCTTCAGGAGGTATCTGTGAAATAAGGAATGACCACCTGTAGCTCTGGGGTCAAAGGTAAGGAAGGCATTAGAGACCCAAAATATGAGCTCACATGGAAAGCTGCTAGCACAGTACATGGCATATAATAAGTGGCCAATACATAGTTAAATAAATGAATACATATATACACACATATAAAAACAAAACATTAATCATGCATGTGGAGATAATCCCTAAGCACCACTGGTCATTAGCACCTTATCTCATATTTTATCATATTAGGATAACCAGTGACTCTGGCTAGAACTTTTGGAGGATGAATTTTACAGTAGGAGGAAATTAGTTGCCTAATAGGGAGAGAGAAAGGATATACAGCAAATATAAAATTCACTTAATTTATCATTGTAAATCTAGAAAAAGACCCCAAATTGCTAAATCTCTTGTAGGCTTTGTCCCCTTTGAAGAAAGGAGCTAAGATGTGGGGCTGATGTCTTAGAGAATATATAAATAGGACTTTAAAAAATTCTGTTAAAATGTGAAGTGATTTAAAAATCTTTAGACCGAGGCCCACAGTAAACACATAGCTCATGAAGTCCAA